TTTATCATTGGATTGACAGATCTAAATAGTCATCACTGCAAACATTTCATAGCGAATATTCTTACAATGAATTTAGAAAATTCTATTCCTGTTATTTCTTTTAAATATCTTTGATTTCCTTCCTGTCCATATAATGATAAAAGTTTGCTCAGTTAGATTTAAAGTTGTAATCACATCTTTATCATTGGATTGACAGATCTAAATAGTCATCATAGCAAACATTTCATAGCAAAAGACATACATTCAATCCTGCCTTTTTAATGTCATTAATAAAAGTTTGCTCAGCCATGTGAAAAGTTGTAATCAAATGTTTATCATTGGATTGACAGATCTAAATAGTCATCATAGCAAACATTTCATAGCAAAAGACATACATTCAATCCTGCCTTTTTAATGTCATTAATAAAAGTTTGCTCAGCCATGTGAAAAGTTGTAATCAAATGTTTATCATTGGATTGACAGAACTAAATAGTCATCATAGCAAACATTCCATAAAATTTTTTCCAAGAATTTAAGAGCTTGACAAATCTGAAGAGACATTACTACAAACTATTTATTACTCCAGAACTCTTTTTCTCCAAATTCTATTAGGCCACACCAATTCAATTAGTTGAATTACGGGCAAAACTTTTGAAAAAAGCAGGGAGCAGGGGGGGATAAAAATAAATAAAAAAAAATCTGCATTTCAAGAAGACGAAAAAGGAATGTATTTAAAACTTTATTTATATCCTTTGGAAACAAACAAACACCAGATTAAACCTTATGGATTTAAAATTAAATTGTCTTAAAACTGCTACGGGTGTAACTATCTCTACATCGGTAGTTTCATGGTCTATTTCGATACCGGCTTTAACGCTGGAGACGGTTACTTCTTCTGTGTCCTGCCATCCGGAGCGCGTCAACAAATTACCAACATTTTCGTCATCAGAGGCACGCACTATAGTTCGTTTTGTGACACGGCCCTTGGAGACGTTGATATAAACATCGAGTTCAACGCTCATTTTCTCACATTTTCACATAGATGTATTTTCATCACAATTGAATAATGGCCGACGAGAGAATTTTTACAAAATTTGCAGACTGGAACGAACCAAATCACAAATCATGTGTTGTTGGTTTATTTTATTTTTTGAAAGGCTTTTCCAGATTTCCAGAACTAATCTCATAATACAACAAATTTTAAAACTATCTAACCAACAATCAACATATTACAAACCAATTTATCTTTCGAATGAAAATAGCTTCAGTTCAAGATTTATTTTAAAAATTTGCAGGCACCTCATTTGCATAGTCGTACTTGCTTTGTAGTACCGTTATCAAAAACATCGTGGAACTAGCCTTTTGTCTCATTAACACTGACTGACCATTCAACAGTGAACGCTTTCGCTAAGCGAGTACAACTTATCAACCGAGTTACGTCCCTTTAGGATTTCGTGTTGAAATTTTTACATCGGCGGACACAGTAAGAATAAAAAAATAATAGAT